GCGTTGTCTTTAATTCCATTAGAGTTTGATTCGATCTTGAGGAAGGACTTATCGGGTCCTGCTAGAACAAGACGAGTTCATATGTAATCGGTGACTAGTTTTTAATAAAACCTTTCTCCCTGTCTTTCACAAAAAAAAAAGCTATACCTAAACATTATACTATCAATTTACACAAAATCAGTATAAACCCAAGAAGAATCTTTTGAAAAAATTTCCATTTTTTAAGATTTTTCCTTTTAACTTTTATGCATGTAGATAAGAAAATCTTCTATTTCCTTAGTATTTTCAAAAATTTTCTAAATCAAGAACATTTTACCACTTAGAAGAGTTTTTGGTTTAAAATCTAATCCGGATAAATAACGTACAAATAACCGATGCCGTCCATTTTTAAACGAGCATGGGACCCACACTACAATACAAAAAAACCAAATTGCTTTCACCAGAAGAGAGCTCCAACCAAAAGATCAAACGAAACGCTTTTTCTTTTCTTTTTTGATTACAGACACAAACACCGATTCAAAATCCTCCCAGAGAAGAAGAAAGGGTTTTCCTTTCTCGAGAGATTTCCGGTGAAAAAACGTTGACTTTACAACACTCCAAGTCTCTCTTGTGAGACCCAAGTAGAGAGACTAGAGAGATTCTTCTCCAATCTCATCTGGGGTTTTTCTATTTTCCATTAAAATGGTAAAAGTTCAAAAATTATTCCCCCTTTTCAAGTTTTTTTGTTGCTATTCCGAGTTTTCTCGGTCTTTTCGCTCTTTGTTTTCGTCTTGTTTATTTCAAAATTTGATAGCCCTACCTTTGTTACCTTTCTGTTTCCCTTCTCGGAACACTAATTCTTGATCTCTGATTTCGCAATTTTGTTGTTTTTGACTTGTGCAAAGATTTTGGTTTGACTATGTCTCGCTCGGTTCGAAAACCTAGCTCTTAGTCTTACTTCAAAAATCTCGCTTTTAAACTGTTGCTTAAAGCTGCAAAATTGATAATTTGTGGCACTTGAATGATGCTGATGTTGTTAAATGCAATGCAATGGTTGCAGGCTGCTCCAATTATAATTGTGGGCTCACATGTGTGGGTTGAAGATCCACATTTAGCATGGATAGATGGAGAAGTGACTCGAATTGATGGTGGAAACATTCATGTTAAAACCAAGAAGGGGAAAACCGTAAGCTTTCCATAACCTTTAACCTTTTCTCACTTGTATCAGTGAGCTCGTATGTGGCCACAATATGTGGGTGAAGACTCGATGAGTTTGAACAAGTGAGCTGATGAATTTTACACGTTGAGAGATTGTACATCTGATTTCGGATTGCGATGCTGTCATAAGTTTATATCTTCTGCATTTAAAGTAAATGTAGGTTATTGTGCTTCTAGTGCCTTAGATAAAAACCAAATAACATACTACTAAATAGAGGAAACAACCTAGAAAGGAAGTTATCGGTATAGATTGAATGTCAAAAGGCAAGTTGTTTCTCACAATTATGGAATGGGGTTTATAAATCGTGCAAGATTTTTATTTGGCAGTTATCTTGATATGTTGTGAGAGCTGTTTCTGTTAAACCATTACAAGTGATAGGGAAACAACTTAATGTGGTAAAATATAGTGTGACTGTGTGAGACGTAAGAATACGATTGTTTTAAATGCGCTATTTCCCATGTATAGATGTTTGCACTTCCTTGTTGCCCATGGTTCTCTCACATATCATCCCCATGTCCTATAATTTTCAGGTTGTGACGAATGTATACTTTCCCAAGGATACCGAAGTTCCACCTGGAGGTGTAGATGACATGACAAAGCTTTCATACCTGCATGAGCCTGGAGTCTTACAAAACCTTAAGACGAGATATGAAATTAATGATATCTACGTAAGAAAATTTTACCTTTTTCCAGCATCTCTCACTTTTTGTAGCTGCCAAAGAAGTCATTTGAAATAAGCTATGATACTAACAAGGTTTGTGTTACTTTTGCAGACATATACGGGAAATATCCTAATTGCTGTTAATCCATTCCAAAGGTTGCCTCATATTTATGAAACCGATATGATGGAAGAATATAAGGGAATTGGACTTGGGGTACTAAGTCCTCATGTTTTTGCTATCGGGGATGCTGCATACAGGTTTGTGCATGTTCACCTCTATCTTTTTTATCATACTTCTATCTATTTCGCGATATAATTTGCTGATTTTGTCACGGTGTAAGATATTAGGGCAATGATTAATGAAGGAAAAAGCAATTCGATTTTGGTAAGTGGAGAAAGTGGTGCTGGTAAAACCGAGACGACAAAGATGCTCATGAGGTACCTTGCCTTTTTGGGAGGGAGGTCTGGTGTAGAAGGAAGGACAGTTGAACAGCAAGTCTTAGAGGTTTATTTTAACTTTTCATTATTAATGAGGTTTATTCCATTTATGGGCTGTTTACAACTTAAGGCTTATATCCCCACTGAAATATTGCAGTCCAATCCGGTTCTCGAAGCATTTGGCAATGCAAAAACTTTACGGAACAACAATTCGAGGTGAATTCATCTCATCTTTCCAAATTTGGGTTTTATCAGCTGAGTTCATTAATTAGTAGGATTTATTGTTAAATGCTCGGTTCCTTAAAAAGGGAAATAGACCGTACCTTGATATAACTTGTACTGATTTCATTCTTCTTGATGGCACCACCTTGCAGTCGTTTTGGTAAATTTGTTGAAATCCAGTTTGACAAGAATGGAAGGATATCTGGGGCAGCTATTAGGACTTATCTGCTTGAGAGGTCCCGTGTTTGTCAAATCTCAGATCCCGAAAGGAACTACCATTGCTTTTACCTTCTTTGTGCTGCTCCGCCAGAGGTATCTCATTTTTTTTTTTGGGACACAATATGTGCATGACCAGCCCATGCCGATATTGTACTCATTTTTTTTTCTAAATTCTTTGTTATTTTGCAGGATATAGAGAAGTACAAGCTGGGAAACCCACAGTTATTCCATTATCTAAATCAGTCAAGTTGTTATAAACTGGATGGTGTTGATGATGCTAGCGAATACCTTGAAACCAGAAGAGCTATGGATGTAGTTGGAATCAGTAATGAAGAACAGGTCCTCAAATTGATGTGTTATATAGGTCACATTTCCGTTCAGCTACTTTCATGTTAGAGTCTGACATGTAAAGTAATATTTTCAGGAGGCAATCTTCAGGGTGGTTGCTGCAATTCTTCATCTTGGTAACATTGATTTTGGAAAGGGGGAAGAGATTGATTCCTCGGTCATCAAGGATGAAAAATCCCGATTCCATCTTAACTTGGCGGCAGAGCTACTTATGTATGCTCCTTCTTTTTCTTACTATATTTGAAGCTGTTTGTCTATTTTTGGTTCAGTGGATTATTTGTGGTAAAAGCTGTTCAATGTACTGTGCACTTGTTTTGACAGGTGTAACGCCCAGAGCCTAGAAGATGCTCTAATTAGGCGAGTGATGGTTACACCTGAAGAGATTATCACGAAAACTCTGGATCCCGATAATGCAATCGCGAGTAGGGATACCCTGGCCAAGACAATCTATTCTCACTTGTTTGACTGGTGAAGCTATTCAAGCAAATTCCTCTTCTATTCCCCAGTCTTGCATTTATATATGTATATTTGTCATAATGCATTTTATCCTTTCGTTTACAGGATTGTGAATAAAATTAATACTTCCATCGGGCAGGACCCAAGGTCAAAGTCGATAATTGGAGTTTTGGATATCTATGGGTTTGAAAGTTTCAAATGCAATAGGTATTGTTTTACTTGAAACATTTTTTGCTTTCACCTTTACCCCATTTCAGTCCAGGAGTGCAAGGAGGATCAACCTTGACATGTTTGGGTAGCTTTTAGAGACAATTCCTTGTTTTTATCATCTTTTGTCATCCTCTGCTATTTCAACTTAAAATAACCTATGCTACTATTTCTTCTGCAGCGTCTCAGAATTTATTAGAAAAGCAAGAGTTAGATGTGAAGTTTCGTGATATTAAGTGGGTGTTGCATATAGTTACATATATTATCAAAGTTGTAGTTGATTACATGTATGGCTTATATTACAGTTTTGAGCAATTCTGCATCAATTTCACGAATGAAAAACTGCAACAGCATTTTAATCAGGTTAGTCCTTTTTTTATTGCCCTACTCGATCAGCTCCTTTGCTTTTTGATAAGTAGATTGTACTTATTATGGTATTACTCTTTCGCAGCATGTTTTCAAGATGGAACAGGAAGAGTACACCAAAGAAGAGATCGACTGGAGCTACATAGAATTTATTGATAACCAAGATGTTCTTGATTTAATTGAAAAGGTATGTTTCTCATTTCTTATAATAGAACCAGACTTACATTTCAGTTTGTGATATTTGATTGCTTAATGGTAACAATATTAAGGTTTAGGAGCAGAGATCTTGTTCACTGCACGATTGTGTTCGTTTTCCCTTTTCTTACCTTGAAATTTTGTTTCTTCATCAGAAACCAGGCGGAATTATTTCACTTCTAGATGAAGCCTGGTATGCCTCATCTTTCTCATATTGACTTGTATGCCTTTCTCATAGTACTATACACTCATGTATTTTTTGTTGCTTCAACATAGCATGTTCCCCAAGTCTACACACGAAACCTTCTCCCAAAAGTTGTTCCAGACGTTCAAAAATCACGAGAGATTTTCCAAACCGAAGCTTTCTCGCACTGATTTTACCATATCGCATTATGCGGGAGAGGTGTAGTATTTCTTCTTCATGATTTTGTCTTTCTCTCAATAAAATTGATGTTGAAGCTTTCTTTTCTTGATGTGTTTCTTACATTTGCAAGGTTACTTATCAATCAAACCATTTTATCGACAAGAACAAGGATTATATAGTTGCTGAACATCAAGCGCTATTTACTGCGTCCAATTGCTCCTTTGTGGCTGGTTTGTTCCATGCGCTTCATGAAGACTCATCCAGGTCATCAAAGTTTTCTTCCATTGGGTCACGGTTCAAGGTATTGCATGTAAAATTGCTAAATAGGCATTGCCAGTTTTAAAAGTAATTTTGTTGATGTTACTTATCTACATTGCGATGTTACTTATCTATATTGCAGCAACAACTTCACTCGCTGATGGAAACACTAAATGGTACAGAACCTCATTACATCAGATGTATAAAGCCGAACAATGTTCTTAAACCTGGTATCTTTGAGAATTTCAACGTCATTCATCAATTACGTTGTGGGGTAAGGATGTCCTGTCTCAATCTAATGGTGTATTTATACCTTTTGTTAGCCCTTTTGTATTAATATTCTCTTTATAAATGTGATCACCAACACAATTATACATGAACTCATTTGGTTCACACTATCTCCTTATACGCTTAGTAATCATTAAATGCCCGTCTTCCCCAGAAAATTACAACTAGTTTCATTTGCAGGGTGTTCTTGAGGCCATTAGGATCAGTTGCGCTGGCTATCCTACCAGGCTTGCCTTCTATGACTTTCTTGAACGTTTTGGTCTCCTTGCTCCAAAAGTCTTGGAAGGGAAGTAAGTCTCTCTCTGAGGTTTCTGCATCTCTATGGAAACACTTTAGTTGAAACTAACATCAGTGTCCTAAGCAGTTCTGTCATATTTTCGTTTACAGTTACGATGATGAAGTAGCTTGCCAAATGATTCTTGATAAGAAAGGTCTGATGGACTACCAGGTGTGATATGCTTTTTCATTCTGGCTTGCTGCTTTCATTCAAAATTCATGGATACTTCTATCGTCGTGGTCTTGATCCTCGACAAGAAAAAAATATCTTTTCCATCATTCTCACTATCGACATTGCAGTATTTTGTTCAGGGATCACATATGTACCTTAATCATGTTGTTCCCAGGTAGGAAAGACAAAGATTTTCCTTCGAGCTGGTCAGATGGCTGAATTAGATGCTAGGAGAGCAGAGGTGCTTGGAAATGCTGCCAGAGTCATTCAGAGGCTATTTCGCACATGCATTGCCAGAAAGAAATTCCGTTCTATTCGCAATGCTGCAATTGTACTGCAATCTTACCTACGAGGTATTTCCTGCACATCAATAAGGTTTCGCTGCAGAGTAGGCTGTTCACTCAGAATTATAGGGATTACCCATTATTTTCTCATTGCCTTCTTTCGATTCCATCATTTGGAGCATAATCCTTTCTCCTTTACCAGCTGCTTGTTTTCGGTTTCTCCTTTTCTATTGGTGGTGGTGGCTGGTAGTTTTTAAGGTTACTTTATTAATTGCAGGCGAGATTGCCCGAACAGTACACAAAAAACTGAAAATAGAAGCTGCAGCTCTAAGATTCCAGAAGAATTTCCGCCGGTACATCGCCAGCAAATCTTTTGTCACCACCAGATCATCTACAATCACGTTGCAGACCGGCTTAAGGGCCATGATTGCACGTAAGGAATTCAGGTTACGAAGGCAAACAAAAGCCGCCATTGTGATTCAGGTATATCACATTTTCCATATTGGTGAGGGAACTATTTAATCTTCTCCAGAGGACAGAAATAAGCAACTTTGGTGACTGTTCTCTTTGATGCATATAAGATTTTTATTCTTTTGTTATCAGGCTCACTGGCGTGGTCACCAAGTATACTCATATTATACAAGACTTCAGAAGGCGGCAATAGCCACTCAATGTTCCTGGAGATGCAGACTTGCTAGAAGAGAGCTTAGAATGCTGAAAATGGTTGGATTCGTTCCTTTATAACTTTTCGTTGCTTTTAACACAGTGTGCCTGAGTTTCCTTATTGAGATATTTACTTCCATGTTTATATTAATTTAGGCTGCAAGAGAAACCGGTGCTCTTAAAGATGCTAAAGATAAATTGGAGAAGCGGGTGGAAGAGCTTACCTGGCGTTTGCAATTGGAGAAGCGATTAAGGGTAACATAAATGTCAATTTTTTCTTTTCGAATTATCTTTAGGTTTAACTAATTTGCAAATTGTGGTCTACAAAGTTAGTTGCTAAATATGGATTGTTTTGTTATCTTTTTACTGATAAACAGACTGATCTTGAGGGGGCAAAGGTGCAAGAAGTTGCAAAGCTGCAAGAGGCTTTGCATACCATGCAGTCACATTTGGAAGAAGCTACTGCAGTGGTCGTAAAGGAACAGGAGGCGGCTCGAATAGCAATTGAAGAAGCTAGTAGAGTTAAAAAGGATCCTGTTGTCGTTGAAGATACAGAGAAGATTGATTATTTGAGCAACGAAATTGAGAGGCTAAAGGTAAACAACTGACATATATGTGATGTAATTGATTCTGCACCATAAATGCAGATGCGTAAATTTAATAGTGATAATTATCTTTGTCTCAGGATTAAAGAAAGTATATGCTTTATGTTGTTAGTCTCCATATTTGATTGTTCATGTTACTGATCTACAAGCTGGAAATGGTCCTAATTGTGCAGGGACTGTTGTCATCAGAAACACATAAGTCAGATGAAGCAACGCAGGCCTATCGTGGTGCTTTGGTCCAAAATGAGGTATTAAGTAAGAAACTTGAAGAAGCTGGAAGAAAAATAGATCAGCTTCAAGATTCTGTTCAGAGGTTTGTTTTCATTTGCAAATTTGAGATCTATAATGCATTTGTTTCTTCATGTGAGAACTCGCTATTGCCTCAGCTATTGTTTTTTATTCATTATACAAATATTTCTCAGTTCATGCATTTAAAGGTTTGATCAATATCTGATATTGCATTTAGTTCTCATTTTATTTCTCTAAAATAAGGAGTCTAACAAAAGATTCCTTCGTTTAAATTAGATTCCAAGAAAAGGTCTCTAATTTGGAGTCAGAGAATAAGGTACTCCGGCAACAATCTCTTTCCATCTCACCGACTACTAGAGCTTTGGCTCTAAGACCAAAAACTACCATAATTCAGGTACAAGTCGACACCGGCTATGTCTTTGCATAGAAATTCTAAACCGTTTATATGACCTCTTTGGTATTTCTTTGGATTTGCAGAGAACTCCCGAGAAGGAAACTTTCTCCAATGGAGAAACAAAACAAGTTCACGTATGCTGATAAACAAAATAAGTCCCTTTTTCTAAATACCATTTACAGTGATGGAGATTTAATACTTGATTATTTACTTCAGGAACCTGAAACTGAGGATAGGCCCCAGAAATCGCTTAATCAGAAACAGCAGGTAGCTATCATTTTGAAGAGTTCACACATATTTCATTTCGGGGACAAGATGTGCATTTTGCAAAACTCATCATATGCTGTTTTCTTTCCATCTTGCAGATAAATCAAGAGCTTCTTCTAAAGTCTATTTCGGAAGATATAGGATTTTCTGAAGGCAAGCCTGTTGCTGCATGTCTGATATACAAGTGTCTGATACACTGGAGATCTTTTGAAGTAGAAAGAACCAGTATATTTAATCGCATTATAGAGACAATAGCATCCGTCATCGAGGTAGTTTTGGTGTTCTTTCATACCTATGCAAATGCTCTTTCCCGCTTCATGGGTTTTTTCTTGCTCAATTCTACATCTTTGCAGATGCAGGAAAACAGCGATGTCCTATGCTATTGGTTATCCAATTCCGCCACACTGTTAATGTTGCTTCAACGCACTATTAATGTTGCTTCAACTCCTAGACGTCGGGGAATGTCTGCATCTTTGTTTGGACGGGTATCTCAGGTGGTTAGATGTGTTTTGTGCCTCTCTAGAATGCTTAAATTCCATTTATCTCACTTTTCTCATGAAGTTATTTGCTTAATTAGAGCTTCGGAGTTTCTCCGCCAAGTGTTGGATTCCCATTTATGAATGGAAGGAAGATTAATAGTGGGCTAGACGACCTACGTCAAGTTGAAGCTAAATACCCTGCTTTGCTTTTCAAGCAGCAACTCACCGCTTTCCTAGAAAAGATATATGGAATGATCAGAGACAGGATGAAGAAAGAGATTGCTCCTCTGCTTGCTTCTTGCATTCAGGCAGGCATTCTTTTTAGTTGCCTTTTTGTTTTCTTTTTTATTGTTGTTGCTAAAATTTGAATTATATTACCAAAAGGAACATGATTTGATTAGAAAATTTTGATAGGCAGGTAGGCCCAAAAAAATATAAAAAGCCAACAGAAATCTAGTTAATGGCAACTACAAGGAGTATAGCTATATAGAAGTGTTCCATTGTGATAACAAGCTTCTACAGATTACATGATCTGTGTTATATTATTATGGTATAATTCCCCTGAATCTGGTTTTTGTTTTGCGGTTTGATGGAAACAGGCACCGAGGACACCACGTTCTGGTTTAGTAAAGGGACGTTCACAAAATAATTTTGTTGCTCAAAAAGCGCTAATTGCTCATTGGCAAAACATTGTCACATGTCTAGACGGCCACTTGAGGACTATGAGGGCCAATTATGTGAGTGATTAAATTTCAGTCAAAGCTGAAATGTGTTTGTTCTTCCTATTTTTCTCACAAAATTCGAATCTTTTCAAAACTGCAGGTGCCTTCGTTGCTAATTTCTAAAGTGTTCGGGCAGATATTTTCATTTATAAATGTTCAGTTGTTTAACAGGTAAATGAGCTATACTTGTGAATGTCATGTCGCTGTATAAACATTTATCCACTTATGGTTTTCCCTTTGTATCAATCATGTAGCCTTCTTTTGAGACGTGAATGCTGCTCGTTTAGCAATGGAGAGTACGTAAAAACTGGGCTTGGGGAGCTGGAAAAGTGGTGCCATGATGCAACTGAGGAGGTAATAGATGTTTAAAATCATCTCTTGATTTTTCCGATAGTTTGCTTATTAAAAGATGTTTTTGGTTGTGTTCTAGTTTGTTGGTTCAGCTTGGGATGAACTAAAGCACATCAGACAAGCTGTTGGCTTCTTGGTTATCCATCAGAAGCCAAAGAAGAGCTTAGTAGAGATAACTACAGAACTTTGTCCGGTTAGTTGAAATTGTCTTTTGAATCTGTTTCTTCATCTGTTCGTCTCTTGTATATTTAACTAAACTTGTTGTTTCTCTGCAGGTGCTTAGCGTACAACAAGTGTATAGAATCAGTACTATGTACTGGGATGACAAATACGGTACACATACCGTATCTTCAGAGGCGAGTGAATAGTTTCACTTTCATCTGATTGATAGACCCGTTCGATTGTTAGATCGATGGAGAAGACATTTTTTTCTTCTTGTAGAATAGCTCAGATTAACATTAAGTCTTATTCCGAGCCATGTTTTTAAGTAAATGAAAGATTATTGAGACTTGGTAATCTGAACTGAAACAAAAGAGCCCAAGTATATTCCTTTAAATTCGCCTAACACAAAAATAAATGGCTATTGCAGGTGACAGCAAGCATGCGGCGTATAATAGCAGAGGAAAGCAACCCTATCAGCAATTCGTTTTTACTAGACGACGATACAAGGTAATCCCCAGAAAGAAAGGAAAAAAAAACACACACAGTGAGGATTCACTTTAAAAGATCTGAATGTATTGATCAATGCTTTGTCTTGGTGATTCTTTTGCAGCATCCCATTCTCGCTTGATGATCTCTCGAAATCGATGCAAAACATAGAGGTTGCAGAGATCGATCCTCCTCCGTTGATTCGACATAACTCCAACTTCATGTTCTTGTTGGAAAGGTCAGATTGAAGTTTGAGACAGTAGTTCACTTCTCTCTGTACACCCGATCGATCTCTAGGACATTTTCAGATTAGAAGATCAGTATTGTGCTTTCAAAATTTGCCTGTACATATAGGCCTTTCTTTACCAGTGGTAATATTTTCCTATTAATTAGGGGTAAAACTTGGAAAAGAACTACTATTGCAACTGTTATTGGTGCCTTTGTTGTGGATTGAATATTTTTACAACAATGGCCATGTTTTTATAGGCCATTGCTTTGAATGGAAATTTCTTTTGTGTGTTTGTGTTTGCTGATTTACTGATGCATTTAGGCGTCACGTGATTTTGTTTCTCGATCACGTGACTCTTTTTCACTGGTGAAAGCCGCCACGTCATCTTATCCAAGTTAGATTTGGTTGGTAAACAACAGTACTGTCTTTCTGATCTGGATTTAAACCGGTTTACCAATTTTGCGGCTCTAATTTCACTAGCCAAATCTCCTTCATCCTTAAAACCGGAATAAGAAAAAGTCGGTTCGGTTTAAAATCTCTGAACCCGCGTCACTTTTACCATGAAAAGTAAATTTCTCACTCCAACTCTCTTTGTTTATTCACAGAAGAAAAGGTAAAGGAACCCTAGCTTTGGCTCTGTCACAGTAGTATATAAGCCTTCTTGTCTTCTTCGCTTCTCCATTGTTCAAATTATCTTCGTCTCGATTTTGCATCCCTCTAGTATCGGTGATTCCTTTCATATCTCCGGCGAAAGTGTGGACCTTGCGTTGAGGATTTTCTTGATTACAGAGAGAGGATGGTCGTTTCTCCGTTTAGGTCAACTTATTGGCTCTGTTTCCGATTCGTTTAGATATGCGATTAGATCCGATTGGTTTTTTAGTGATTGTGTTTGGTCCAAGACGTGGTTCCGTAGGCTGAAAAAATGCCTTCTTCTTTAAGTTCTGAATCTTTCCGTTTTCGTTGTGACCTTGGAGTTTTTGTATAGTGTGATTCCAGGTGTAATTAAACTTTTGTATATAGATTCTACAAATTAGGAAATCTGTGCAGGTAGAGATTGTAATTTGGGCACTGTGACAGAGAAGGGTTTTTGGGAACATTTTGTTCCTATTTTAAGTTTCTGTTCTTTTTTTTTTTGTTTTGTTACTTCCTGGATTGGATAGAAGTGGCGAAGATGAATCTGCGAGCTGCTGAGGAAGAATCTTCTCGAGAGATTCACATTCCAGCTGATATAAATTGGGAAATGCTTGATAAATCGAAGTTTTTTGTTCTCGGTGCGGCCTTGTTTTCAGGAGTATCAGGAGCTCTTTACCCTGCGGTTTTGATCAAAACCCGGCAGCAAGTTAGCTACTCACAAGTTTCCTGTATCAGGACTGCGTTCACTCTTGTCAGACACGAAGGTTTCAAAGGGTTGTACAGAGGATTTGGGACATCTTTGACGGGAACTATCCCTGCTCGTGCGTTGTACATGACTGCACTAGAGGTCACTAAGAGTAACGTAGGCTCTGCAGCGGTTAGCTTAGGATTTACAGAAGTCAAGGCTGCTGCAATTGCCAACGCGGTTGGTGGTTTGACCGCTGCAATGGCGGCACAGCTTGTTTGGACACCTGTTGATGTGGTGAGCCAGAGGCTTATGGTTCAAGGTAGCAGTGGTTTGCTCAATGCGTCGAAATGCAATTATGTTAATGGGTTTGATGCATTTAGAAAGATCATTACTTCAGATGGACCAAAGGGATTGTACAGAGGATTTGGGATATCTATTTTGACTTACGCCCCTTCTAATGCGCTCTGGTGGGCTTCTTACTCTGTTGCTCAACGGATGGTTTGGAGTGGAGTTGGGTGTTATGTTTGTAAGAAAGACGACAGAGCAAACAATGAGAATGGGAACAACGGTATGATTAAACCGGACTCCAAAACGATTATGGCTGTTCAAGGAGTTAGTGCCGCCATTGCTGGTAGTTTCTCTGCTCTGATAACAATGCCGCTCGACACAATTAAGACAAGACTACAGGTTCTAGACGGAGAAGATAGTAACAGTGCGAAGCGTGGTCCGACTTTTAGACAGACTGTTAGAAACTTGGTAAGGGAAGGTGGATGGACAGCTTGTTACAGAGGATTGGGACCTCGATGCGCTTCTATGTCTATGTCTGCAACAACTATGATCACTACTTATGAGCTCTTGAAGCGACTTTCGGCAAAGGACCATGACACGTTTTGCTCTAGATCACAATGATTACAAACAACCAGACCTTGTAGAGAATACAGTTGACTAAAACATGGCCTTGTCTTTTTCATATGCTCTTTCTGCTTCTCTATTAACCTGGTCATGTAAGGAAGGTATCAAATCCAATTGTTTATAAATAAAAATTTCTTAATCGATGCTTTTTGCCGCTCCAGTTATCCTTATGTAGTACGTTATGTATGAATCTGGTGTAGGTAAAGCAAAGAGCAGAGACTATCAGATGTACGATTAACATTCCAATCCAATCCAATCAGGCAATCACCGACTTACACATGATTCATAGTACAAAAGATAAGAGTTGAAGCTTGAAGATTTTTGATTGTTCAAGCAATGTCTGGACAACAAAACATGAAATAAGAACTAAAAAGAATCGAACTAACAGCCAAGGATGACTTCCCTTTTCGTGGGAACAGACACATCACCAGATCCCAAATATCTCAAATATGGACAGAGAAATGGTGCGTGTTCCCACCTCCGTGCATGTCATTTGATTGACCATGAACATACATTGTTGGCTTTGTCTGAGATGGGCAATCTAATAACTGAAACTCAGAGTGTCCAAAGATATCAATGCTGTCAACAGCAGATGTTATGTCGGACACAGATGTGGTTGAACAGCCACGGTAGCCAGTCATGTTTCCCTTTGTGTGTTGCTGTTGGATTGACATGTCGTGTTTTGGCTCTGTAGATTCTTGAAGCTTTTTGGTGCTTAGGAATCTTCCACCAGAACCTCTAGATCGTTTAAGAGCGTGAACATGTCGGGATTCATGAAGATACGGCTGTATGATATCAATAATGAGTTAAGTTTACTGACCAAACCAGAATGAGATAGTGAATCCCCAAGCGAGATACTATACCTTACGGGCTTTGATGAATTTGTTTTGAGCCTCTAGCTTTGCACGTTGCTGCCTCCTCCTCATAATTGCATGGAATTGCTTTGCATTGACAAAGACAGGCTCATTTTCTATGAGGTCCAGTGGTAGTGAAACTCGACCCACCATTTGGGGATTCCATATCTGCAGAAAGTTTTTAAGTGAACTAAAATCTCAAATGACAGATAAAACTGCAAGGCAATCCAACATTGGAGGATTGCATTTCTTTCCATCGCTTAATGCAACTGCTTCAGAGCATAGCGTTGGATTACAAGTTCACCTTAAGGAAATATATTATTAGCTTTGCCAAATGTAATCTAGAAGGTTATTCTTACTGTTGCCTGTGGTAGGTAAGCCGCATGTATCAAACCACCAAAATGTGGATCGGCATAGTGAAAGGAAACGTTAGCCTGGTACAGGGTATAACACAAGATGTAAGTTCACCATCACAAGTTCTGTCTACCAATACTGATAGTAGATTTACAAATACCTTGCCAGGAGCAAAGTGAATATCTGAGATTCTTGTTGAGTAGGAGTCTGATTTTTTACTGTTTGAAAATCCCTTCCTTTGAGTTTCTTCAAATCCCATACAAACATCTGAAGAAGAAAAGAGAGACAAGACCATATTTTTAGGGCAAAGGGATGGATTATATTCCTATTCTAAATGGGCATGAGAAGTTCCATGCCACTTCTAAAGAGCAAAAGATATACAATTCACACCAAAACATCAAGCAAGTGTCATCAACATAAATGTTATATCGTCTTGTCTTTTTGACAGATGTTCTCACCAGTAATAAGAATCGAATAGATCCCAAAAGTTTTTTAAAACGGACCTGATTCTGCTGAAAATGAGATTTGTTTCGAGGGGTTATCGTCTCTGCTACTTGCAACAACCTCAGAAGAAGATTGATCAGTGGACTGAGTTGAAGATGAATCCTGGTCATGGAAACTCATTTTCTTCGTGTTTAGAAGACGTTCTGATCTTGCTTCCACCTTCAGACTCAGCGGTTCAGCCACAGCAGAACCGCGAACATTCGATTCAGTTGGAAGTCTCCATGAGACGGAAGTATTAAGGTATGGTGGAGTGGAATGAGCCACAGAGCTAGTAAATGAATCTTTCTTATCCATGTGACTCAGGCAACAATTAGATTACTGGCTACAATAAGATGAACACTTGAACAGTCATCAACAGTCTATAATTCATCCATTAAGAAGATAAACTTATATCCACAGAGATAGATGATAAGGAAGCGAACCCTAAGCCGATACCACATTCAAAACTATTTTGGGCAAACAAACAATTAGACGAGCGCGACAGATTTGGCCTGAATAAAGGCGTTGACTTGGGAAGATTCGCTGGTGGACGCCACCAAATAGACCAAAATCGAAAAATTGACGGAAACAGAAACTACAGTTCAAAGAGAGATAGAGATAGAGATAAAGAGACCTTATAAATTCGATGAAGAGACGAAGAACACTGACTCAGGATGGTTTCTGCATATCCTGCTTCACATCAACTGAATAAGTAA